CGGGACATCTGGCAGGGCCATCGCGATAAATCCGGAGCACATCACATTTGTTAACCCCGTTTCCGAACAGAAGTTTTCGATTCCTACCTTGGGAGTTCTGCCTCGACGTCCTGGAGGAGAATCCCGGCGGCCTGGCGGCTCTCTCACGGGCTGCTCTCTCTTTAACGAAGGAATTGCCCGTCCCTGCGGCAGAATGTTGCGCCTTACTTGCGCAGTATTAGAGCTCGAGTGCTTACCTCGAGCCGCTGCAATCAAATCGAACTCGGTCAGTTCTAGGTTCCTGGGCACTTCACCCGTGTGCACTCGTGTTAGTCATCTTCGAAACTGGTTGGTGGTTGGTCCACAGGTTGTGCACTATGGCTCTGAAATAACCCTACATTGGTTAGTTCCAGACCTTCGACACCCGCTCGTGGCTCTTCTATTCGCGAATTTCCAGCTGCTGATTCTAGAATGCGCTGCACGATATCTACTACTTCTGTTGAGTCTACCGCCAGAAGCTGTGATAGCTTTCGCATCGCGCAATCGTCATACTGGGCTTGTTCTAGCGTTTCGGACAGATTTTTTACTAGTTGGTCTAGATCCACGCCTTCGAGATTGCTAAGCTCTTCACCTAGTTGCTCAACTCTGCAGGCTTCTGACTCTAGTCTTTTACAGACCTCGTTTATTTGCCGAAACTCAGTGCCCATATTCTTGGAGCTTTTCTTGGGTTCCGCTTTTCGCGTTCTATCCACAAGTTTGCGAATTTCAGCTATGCATTCGCGCATTGTTGCTGTATTACGCTTACCTGAGGTGCTTGCCTTTCGGTCAGTTGGCGCACCTGCTGCGCCAGGCTGGCAATTTGCGCCTGCATTTCTTCCATGCGCTTGCCTTCATTGTCTTCTAACAAAAGCATGGCCTCCATCTCTTCATCGCTAGACTGGGCCATTTTCCTGCAACAGGAACAATCAATCCGTATCGATAAAATTTCTGTTATCGATCGGCGAGGAGATTACTGCTTCACTCGACTCTGAAGCTAGTAACTTTCAAAACTCCTACGGTGATGCGGAGGTCCCCTCGTGCAGAGGTTTCCCTTTACGCGGGTCTGCTTCTGGCCTCCGCAGACAATCTGTGGATGACCGGCAGTTCACCCCACGGTGATTCCAGGTACCACCTCGATCAGAGGTTCTCGTACCTGTTTATGTGCTATCACAGTCTTCCACAGACGACCTGTGGATCGACTAGCACAGCTGCGTCCGCCAAAAAGAAAACCACAAAAGAAAAATTTCCCCTCAAAAATTTGCAAAAGAGATTTTTCCCTTCTTGTTTGGTTCGGCCCCCATGTAAAAAATTAATATGCTTTGGTGGCGGGCCACGTGGGTGGAAGGATTTTTCCACAGTACAACGAAAACTTTACTAGCAAATAAAACAATAGCAACACGTGAAGAACAAAAGTCTGCCTTGTTGGCAGTACAAGGAAAGACAGACAAAAAAACGAACAGAAATAGAAATAATGCGGCCACCGCCGCTCTCTGTCGACACCAACCACGAACTACTAAACAAAACAACCGACAAGCGCTCTTGCCGCGCGTAGGTCAAGTTATCCGATAATCTTTTTGATCAAAACGCTCCTTCTTCCTTACAGCAGGGTTTAAATGGACATTTTTTCGGGCCGATTTAGATCCCAGATATTAAGGAGATGGGAAAAGGGCCGTTTTGCATGGCGGTCTCCAGCGCCATCCTGATAACCTGTCCCAACGCGTAACGCACGCGGCAAATCTCCCTTCCCCTGTTTTTGCTTAGGCAAAAGCCGCCGAAGGGTGTATCGCGCGCGGCAGTGGTCCTATAAGGAAATTGATAACCTGTCCCAACGCGTAACGCACGCGGCAAATCTCCCTCCCCCTGCTTTTGCTTAGGCAAAAGCCGCCGAAGGGTGCCTCGCGCGCGGCAGTGGCTATAAGGGAAAGCATTACGGTCGTGGGAAACTTTTATACCACACGAAATTGCCTTTATCGTGGGGATCGAGCACGATATTCTTGAAACAGCACCTTAGGTGATTTTCTGCCAAGGTTACAGGCAGGTTCATGATTTCTACCCGCTACCATGTACCTACAGTGACTCTGCGAAAAAGTCTCAAAACGCAGAAAGAGTGTTTTAATCGTGGTCAGAAGGTCGAATCTCTCTAGACCGAGTTTCAGCCAAAACTGAGATTTCGCCCCTCTGCAGTATACTTAATAACTCAGTGAAATCGCTTCAAAATGCCGAAGGAGTATGTTATTCGTAATCAGCATGTCAATTAGCCCCCCTCAAAGTTTCAGCGAAATTCATGATTTTAGCTTCTTATGTGTATCCAACGTAAACCCAGAAAATGGCGCTATCGCGAGAGATGACTACGATATTCGTCATCAGCGGCTTTAACAATTCCCATGTACCGACTTTGAGCAAGATCCATCATAAAATATTTTGGGGTTGGATAGCCGAATAGCGCCATCAGTTTTCAGAATTATCCTTACTTCTACCGGTTTTATGTTTTTTTGCAAAGTTTGAGCTACGGGGATGGGAATTGTTGAGGGATGTAGGTGGGATGCTAATTACTAACACAGCGGGAATAGGGAATTGCATGTAGAAGTGGGTACAATGAAAGGTTCTACAGGGATAGGGATAAGACCTTGATCATAGCATTGACAGGGCCGGGCGGAGCCGGATAAGCCAGCTAGTAACTTATAATAACGGGCTGGGGGTTGTTTACGTTTTTTGCTTGAAATCTTATAAAGCTGCAAAGCACAGTGTTGGACTTAACTCATTTAGGGAAACCGAGAATAATGAATATCCCAAAGTTGTAATTCTGCCGAGCCGCTGCCTCTAAGAGGTTGATTGGAACTCGCTCTGGAATCTCGTAATGGACGCTTTCGAGAGGAAAATTTCAAATGGCTGATGCAAACTTCTGCGAGCAAATGTCAAAATTCTAATCATTTTCTAGTTCATAACAACTACTTACGTAACTTGTAGATCGAGTAGGTCATTTTCGCTTTACCACTCTTGTCGCTGGTATTTGTTTACTCCTTCCCCCATCAAATTTGAGCACTTTCTGACGAATTCAAAGAAAAAAACAACGATGAACTGGTGATTATCTGTCAACATTTGTGCATGAAATATTTGGGTCTACATAATATTCATAATCTGGGACTGCAAATGACAGAGAGATCCCTCAAAAACTCCAACGAGCTTGAAGGCCACACACAGAAAGGCAGGTAGTCGAGGTATTTAGTAGTTTACGAAGATGAAACTTTTGAGTAAAAGCAGCAATTTCATTTATTCTTTCCCACAAATTTAGGTGCAGTAATACAAAATTTGTCTCGACTAAAATATTTCATTGAAGGCACTTTATTTTTTATGCCTTCGAGTTTCAAACGAATAGATAGTTTTTTTTAATACAATGTTTCTTCGCATTTCTACAGCTAACGTTTCCTTCAACATATTTTCAACATTGAAATATTACTTCTTGGGGATCGAATTTTGTATTTGCAGATTATCTGCGGGTAAGGAACTAACTTCAATACTTGATAATATTGAACTTTTTCACAGCTATTTTTCCTCTGTATAAGTGCAAAACAAGATGAGTCCTTGCAAATTTGTGATTTTTAAACTCTGGAGTTTTTGATAAAATTATGAGTAAAGCGAATTTTTCGGAATCTCACAACTTCAAAAAAAATACATTGAAAAACTGTTAGCTTAAAATGTGAGAAAGGTACTGGACATTTACTTGTTATCCGTCCTCTAAAGGTTTGGAACAAGGATTTTGAAAATTGTAAAACAAAGTGAAATTTTTCTTGGAAACATTGCATTCTATCTATGCTTGCGACATGTTAAACCAAAGACATGTAACTTTAGTCGACCAAGAATTAGCTCTAGCTTGTGTGATGACATCGTTTACTGAAGGTTGTCAATAACACCACAGCTTCCATTAATCACTGAAGACATTGATTCAGAAGGGATTCTGAGCAGAATAGTTTCTCCGAAGCTACTCACAGCAGTCTTTGGGTTTTGAAATTAATTGATTGGGAAAGTTTTGGCAAATTTCTTACAAGCCTTTTATCTGGAGACGAAGTTGAAAAATAAACAGTAGGGAGACCGCAAATAAGTTAGACAAAGACTGAAAATGCTTCCAAGTTCAACGTAACTTTGTTCTACATAAACAACCCCAACTAAGTTTTTGAATCTCTCCAAATCGCCTGCTTTTAGCCTAGTTACAGCTCTCCAAATATTTTGTGTGCCGGCGGCAAGCCTGCTCCAAGCAATGGTGCTCGCCGGACTCAGCATGCAGCCAAATTGGAAATATGAAATTTTCTAGTTTTTTCGTCTTTTCAATGTTTCTTATGTTTTATCCTTTTTTTGTTAGTTGAGCTTAATCATTCAAGATCGCATCACAGGTGATGTTGTACTTTTGTAGCGAAATCTATAGGGACTTCGTTTTCGAAAGAACTGAAAGAGCCACCACGTGTCGAGCCCTGTTCTTTTAGCTCACTTAGGTGACGAGATATGTACAGTCTGTGTAAAAAGGCTTATATAGATTTTTTGAGATTTTACAGTTTATTTTAGTAGTATACAAATTGCTAATACAGAGATATTATCAACCTTTTTTGTTTACAGTGCAAGAGACTTGTGACTTTACTTCATAATAGTCAGGACTTTATTTTGATAATCAAGAGATGCACCTCCTTGCTTTTTCAACTCCAGTAAATGTGTCACACAAATAGCTCAGTAGGTACGACCTTCTTTTCCATACAAATCTAGTTGCTATTGCGTGCATTGCTACGATCTCGTCGCATCCCAAGTATAATAGAAGCAGACAAGTGAGCTCATGTAAGCAATCGAATTTCGATGGTCACAATCTGAAACAGCTTTTTGAATTTCGATTTTCGACACTAATCACAGTGAAATGATACGTACATTGATTGATACATTTGCCATAACATCAGTGTCTGTTTCTGGAAGAACCAAAACTCACCGTTGACCTACCACAGATTAATTGTTCCGTGGAAAGCAATACGTATTAAGAACATACGTTCAGAGATGAATGTGTTACCATCGCCAAAGATCCTTTTTCTGAGCCTAAGTGTTATTCTATTTATAATTATCACTCAATTTGATTGGCGTTGTGCTGCTGTTAAAAAAGCTGACTCGCCAAGAAAATATCTGGGATTTAAAATGAACAAAGGTCGCTTTGGAAATCAGGTGATTTGATGAAAGCTTAAATTGTACCTACCAATAATCTTCTTTACTTCAGCTTTTCCACTTCATCTCCGGTTATGGAATTGCAAGGACCTTAAACAGAACTCATTATTTGTCGTTACAAGATGATGCAATAGCCCACGTAGTCAATTTTCTGCGCCAGTACAAAGATGTGTTTCCACGTTTGCAGGACACATTTGTTTTGGCACCAGTAAGTGTTGGCTTATTTTGAAGAAGTGCTGACGAATGTCAAAGCGTTAACGTTTCAAAGTGAACTACAAAATTTTTGGCTTTAAACAAGAGAGTCTTCTAATCCAGCAGAGCACAACAAAAAAGTAAGTGTTTCCACGTTTGCAGGACACATTTGTTTTGGCACCAGTAAGTGTAAACAAGCTGTATATCATTCGATGCAGTATAAAACGCTGACATCGAATCTGTCTTCCTTATCTGCTTATCGCTTCTGTGGACGAAGCTACAAGCGGTATTATTCTGACAAAATCATACATAAAAACAGCGAAATTGAGCACATTGTTGCACTTTTAACTAAGCTCCTGACTATAAAAATTTTAAGTGAGCTATCTGCATGTTTTAGCCCAGCATTGAGGCGAACGCGGTTCTGTACGGTCAAATTTTCAATTTCACGCATAATTTACAAGGGAAAGATACTTAGTGTCCGTGGCCTTTTGAGATGAAATGTATACCAATACAATCGCCTTTGAACGCTGATTCCAAATCTGGTTTCCGTTTCTGCTGAGCGTTTCTATGAAAGAAGTTATGAAGGATTTTCGTATGTGTTTCGCGCGGCCAAATTTGGCCGCGCAATACACATACGATAGAAACACCAACATGGTAACATGTTAACATGCATTCATTTTCAGTTCATTTTCATTTTTAAAGGCACCTCTTGGAATAAATATAGGAAACACCCGTATAAGAATGAATCCTCGTTGTATTTTCAACGAGTAAGTACATGCATTTACCTCGAGGAAATCTAATTCTCAAAAAAAGCTTATTAGCTTTCAAAAAAAAGCCTAATTGAGGCAATGCAAAACTGGAAAATACAAAAGAATCTGAACCTACACCTGCATCAGCTTGTGAGGCTAACGCACTAGCCACTACACCACAACTACCGGCGGTAATGGTGTTCCGATCATATCTCTAAAGGCCAAATTTGGCGCGAAAATCCTTCATAACTTCTTTCAGAAAAACGCTCAGCAGAAACGGAAACCAGATTTGGAATCAGCGTTCGAAAGCGAGTGTGCTGGTATACATTTCATCTCAAAAGACCACGGGCACTAAGTATCGTTCCCTTGTTAGCAAAATAATGGTCTTTAATGGCTTATAGCTTCGTCCAGAAAAGCGATGAGCAGCTAAAGAAAACAGATTTAGAGTCAGCGCTTCATGCTGCATCTAATGGTATGCAGCTTATCCGGATTGGCCACTTAGATTTCTGACCATTCCCTTGTAAGCCTGATGATTTACGTATCTGCGAAAGGGTTGATGATGTAGTGCTAGAGGAAAAGTCGTTTTTAATGCTTTGGTTGTCATCCTTCATACTTCACTGGCAGTCGTTGTTAGGAGCGGCAAGCGTCGTAAGGAGTTCGTACGGATCAACAAGCAGCGAATAATTTTTTTGTCCCATAAGGTGCTGAAATACATTTATCGCACTTGATGATTGGTAATTACTGAAAGTAAAACTAACGATAGCTGTTAAAACTTCACCTCCAACAATCACTAGCAACTGGAAGAAGACATATCATGATATAAAAACCTTTTGTGACTGATGCATGATTAATATTGAAGCAGTCTTATAACGAAGACCAAAACATGTTAATTTTTTCCCAAAGGTCTTTTCTAACGAGGCCGCTTCCAAAGTAAGCAAAATGGAATTTTTTGAAACTCACACTGCAAAAAGACGGTACTTTGCATAAGCTTAAACGATCTTGTGCTAAAAAAAACGTCGGGGTACAGAAAGAATGGAGAAGATAGGCAATTCGAATAAATGAAGCTCCATAAAAGTGTTGTTTTTTATTCCTTATGAGAAAGTGGCTGTTAGCGTTTGCCGGCTCCCAACGCCGACTGTCGGCCTGGCTCTCGCGTTTATTCCTTTTCTGAATCAGCTCTGAAATAGACTAACTCATAAAAATGACGAATTGCTGTTCACTTGTTCTACAATTCATAACTTTTTGTGATCTTTGCATAGTGCACGGTTTTCACGTCTTGCCGACTACAAAAGCAGCATTTGTTACTCTTTTGTTTCTAAACGTGGTCAAAAGGTGTAAGCAAAAATTTGACTGCCTTCTTTCATTTTTCTGGGAGGCGTGCAAGTGGTGCCCAGGCAGCCGACTGCTGCCACAGCCAGCCGCCAGAGCTGGCGTCAGCGCAGCCGCATACAGTAGGATAATTACGCTAACCGTCTGATACCTCTCCGCCGAGAGGTTTCCTCTCACCTCATCGCGTTGAGGTGCGATATCAGCCTCAGGGATAGCGCGATATCATCAATAATGTCATCAATATATATATATATCATTTTAATCAGCAAAAAATCCTTAGTTTATTGATAAAATGAAAATAACAAATTTACACAGAGTAAAGTTTTCCTAGAGGAGAATGGTTCAAAATTTCAATTTCTTGAAATGACCAAAAGGTGAATCAATTCAAAATTCAAAAAGTGTTTAGTTACCAAAAATTTTGTTTTTTAAAATTCAACCAAGGAGTAGGACGGTCCAAAGGAGAAAAAAGGTTTGTTTAAATGAGGATTAAAAGACTTAGTGATGATAAAAAAGCTGATAAGCCAAATTAGGTCAAATGACTGAGCCAAAGTGTGTCAAAAATTGAGCAGGTCACTGATGCTGATATAAAAGACAATAGAGTAGGTCATCAAGAACCAAAATGTCTAATCTATACAGCCTTCAGAGCCTCAGGCTCAAAAAGCGTATGTGGAGAATTCATCGCTTCTTCAGGTATTCCATGAAAAAATTTAATAATCTAGAATTTGTTGCCTCTGCCCTCCCAATTGTACACTTCAACTAGTGAAGTTCCCCGCGAATTCCGCGGGGAACTTGAGGTAAGCGAACAAGGAGCTCATCCGGTCATCTTGTATGATATCCCTGGTTCGCGTCTTTGTTACGTCCTCCAATACCATAAGAAATCATCAAGAGCCGACACGGCTTTATATAGATGCTATGAACGCAAGAAACAAAACAAAAAATACACATCAGTTGCTGTGCGTGAAAATAAAAAAATAAATAAAATAAAAAATCACTTTTTAGATTTTTGAGAACTTGTTCGATAAAGATCCATGTCTTCTGAGTCACAATTGCATACCTTTAGATAGACATAAGGACAAAGCTAACTAGCTTATGAGGTTTTCGTACTTGTCTTCTTCCTTTCTTTCTTTCTTTTTTCTTTCTTTTTCTATCTTTTTTGTCTTGATGTCTATACTTCCGCAATTTTTAGAGCTGTCTGTTTGTTGTGTTTGCATGGTTCTCAATAAACTAGGAATTTTTTCTGTTTAAAATGATTTAGATATTGATATATAAGATCGATATTATCGCGCTGTCCCTGAGGCTGATACCGCACCTCAGCGCGACGAGGTGCGAAGAAATCTCTCGTCGAAGAGTTTCAGACGGCTAGCGCAATTATCCTACCGTATGCGGCTGCGTTGACGCCAGCTCTGGCGGCTGGCTGCGGTAGCAGTCGGCTGCCCGGGTACCACTTGCTACGCGCCTCATTTCTCTTTCTAACTGATTGTCTCACATTACTCAATTCATCAAACGTGGAAGGTTTAATGTGTCCACAATTATGGTCGAAAATCTTACTCAATATCTTACCTTTGAATTTGTAAGCAACTGTTATTACTGCCGGCTTTAAGGCATGTGTGTGTATGTGTGTATGTGTGTATGTGTGTATGTGTGTGTATGTGTGTATGTGTGTATGTGTGTGTATGTGTGTGTATGTGTGTGTATGTGTGTATGTGAAAAACGCGAACGCGGATCACGATCGGCTGCGAGAAGTCATTATTCTTCCAGAGACTCCTCTGCATCGAGAAGTCCAGCAAGGAATGGCAGAAGATCTCGAGATTATTCTCGTGACCGTTGCTATCAATTGCGTGAACAAAAAGCTTACCGCAGCAGATCGAGTTCCATTTCTCAATCTGGTTCTCGTTTTCCATTTCTACGAGTGCGTTTTGAAGTACCCGCGCGAGACAAATCACGAAATTCACCTTCACCGCAACATCGAAAAAGACCAAGATCAGGATTTTGATATCCGGCAGAAACATTGAGTTGACAGTCATTGGTGCAGTCAGACACGGAACACCAGGATTAACAATTTCACTTGTGATCGCAATTTTGTAACACTAACTCAGATCAAGATGCAGCTCAGAATTGATGTTAGGTAAGGCCAGACCTCTTAATTCGTCAAGAAAACTGACAGACATAGCACTTTTACTGGATTACGGAGCACAGACAAGCTTTGTTACGAAATCCACACCTGCACGACTAGATCTTCGCGTATAGACCATGCGCCTATCATTCTAACGACCTTTAGAGAACACGAGATTACGGAGTTTTTAGGAAAGGTGAATTTCGCACTTGTCGATTCATTCGTCAAGCAATTTACAGCCTTTGTTTCTACCAAGGATCAGACCCACAGCATTCGCGCTCCAAAACGATGCACAGAGACATCTTATTAACTAAGACAATTCGATCTTCCAGTGTTCAAAGATCCCACGAAAGTTTACGCTGGTGTCCTTATAAGCATCTAGGATCATTTCTAGGATATCATTACGCAATGATCGTCTGTGTGTCTTTCATCAGGACTAGTTTTGACACACATGTTGTCGTTTCAGAATCTTTTTTTTACCAATCTATCCCTGTCAACAACTACCGGGAGCGACAAGTCAACAGAAGGAAATGAAGACGAAGACATCGTTGCCAGATTATGGTGATTAGAGCTCTAAGGTGTCAAAGATGACAAATGACGCCGAAGACATTAACCACAATTTTCATATCCTTGAACACTGAAGACACAGAGAAGTAACATTTGATTCAACTGGCTTGACACAATTAGGGCGGGGTTTGTGATCTAATTGAGGCCGTTCGCGCCCGCGACGCACCTGCGTCTCTCTCGCGCGAGTGCTCTCTGATCATCACCCAGCCTTAATTAGGTCACGAAGCCCCGCCTTCGCCGATGCCAAGCCAGTTGAATCAAATGGTACTCACCAAGATCGATAAGAGGACTGACTGAAGCGCAGTAAAACATTTTTCAAGGGAAGGATTCTTGGTCAAAGTGGAGTGGTGCATCCCCGATGTTATCAGGTAAACCGTAAGCGTGGCTGTCTTTCGATCATTTTAACATGTCATCTTGAATAAGCTCCTCAGATTTGCTGAAGTTAACGAGCGAAAACGATTGAAAGGCATCCACGTTGGTGGTTTATATGGGAACAATTCTGGGAAATGCACGATAAAAAAGTAGCTGAATTTTTTGTTTAATCCATATCTCCTACCTCATGATTTTTGGATGACTAATGTCTTTGCAGTATGACGCAAATGAGACACAAGTGGATTTCATAGGTGGATGTTGCAATTTTCTCAATCCTTTGAGGTAAGCTGAAATAAGAAGTACTGGAATGATGTTCACAAAAAAGCGAGCAACTCAAAAAAATATAACGATCTTTTTATTTGACAGTGATCAGATGACCATTAAGTAGCTCAGAATCTGAATGATAAAAATTGTGCCTAGACAACCCTCAGTTTTCTTGAACTGCTTTGAAAACCTTTAGTGTGAAAAGAATTTAAGGCTTTGAGTACACAATGAGCATCAGTGCGGACGGGTGTCACTAATCTTTTATCAAAAATAATTTCTGTCACTTTTGATTCAATTCACTGACTTCCGGCACTCTTGCTTAGCAGTTTTATTATAATTGGCCCAGAATGCTAGAAAACAATCATGAGATTTCAACCAAACTTCGCATACATAAATTTTTGAACGGTCTTTTCTTAATAAGCTATTCCCATTAATATAGAAAATAAATCAACTTACTAGTTTTTCTTTCTTTACTTTTGGGGAAAAAATGCACGGTTTACGAACACAATATCTATCTCTTCAATATTAGCTTTTTCCAGTATTCATTAACTTTTATTCGCAAAAGCTGACTGATATTTGACTACGCATCAATTCCTTTCTCAGCGGGATTCTCAGACCACCCAAGTTAATAGGCAAAATCAGAAATATCACTCACCCACAAAATCAAACATGATCACTATATCAATTCAATGACACCTTATATCCCCACCTTCTTTTATTCAAACCATGACGCCACTCTCACGTATTATATCTACTTTGTATGCTTCAACCCTCAATGAATAGGCTAAACCAAAGTGTTCTGCGCAAACTAACAAATTCAATAGCAAACCTTGCATTTGCACAACACAGAGTGGAACGAAAGAGTACGAGGCAGCGAAGCTTCAGTACCAGCCAAACCTGCGGCGTGGCGGCAGAGAGCGGCTGGTATCCTTTATTAGACTGATGTTTCGGCGCTATCGCCTTCTTCTGAGTCTGGAATTATTGAATGCATCAGTGAACTATCTTATCAAATACCGCTTCAACACTTAGGAAGATACTTCTTTGGTTTGGGGGATAAAGCAAGGGGGAAATCGTTTTTTCGGGAACCGGGGTGGAGCCCCAAAAGAAGATTCCAAGTGCAAGCAAAAGAAGGTTGAATCATGCTTACCTTATACATCTAATTCATTAGGAAGCAGTTTTCATAAGCCTTAACGAACAGCAGAGTTCGCGCACGCTACGCCGCGCCGCCGCTAATTGCCGCGTGCGCGACGTCGCATAAGCGAAGCCGTTGAACAGCATGATTACGGGATCGGCCATACTATTCCTGCTATTCCTACGACTCCTGCGATTCCTGCGATTCCTATGAGTCCCGCACAGTTTATACGCCGCTTAAATGAGCGCGTATTGCGTGTTACGTGTTGTTTTACGCAACACGCGCTCATTTAAGCGGCGTATAAACTGTGCGGGACTCAAGGAATCGCAGGAATCGCGGGAGTCGTAGGAATAGCAAGAATAGTATGGCCGATCCCTACATGATCAGTTCTCAATGCAAACGTAACGATAAGCACCAAATTAGGTTAGCGAACGAAAAGAGGCTAGTACAAACAAAGTATGAAATATTATGAAAAACTTATGTGAATGTGGGTTGTAATAAGCATTTTTTTTCAAAAATTCGCAAAAATGGTAAATGAAGATTTGAATTCAAATGGATCGTTTGCAGCGCATAGATGACCATACGGTATGAAATTGGTAGGTACATGAACACGTGCCTGCAAGGCTTGATTTACGAGTTTTATTGAAAAATTATGTGACTGAAGGTTGTGGCAAGCTGTTTTGAAAATTTCCCACTATGAAAAAAAATGAAAAAATGGCTCGTTTGCAACGCAGAGAAAACGTAATCGCGCGAGTCTTGGTGTGTATAGCGCAGTGGGACTAAGGAACAATGTACGAAAAACTATGAAAACTTATGTGAATGGAGAGCGTGCCCAACTTTTTTCCAAATTAGGTGGGCAATTACCCACCTAATTTGGAAAAAGGGTGGGCAAAACTTTCAATTCACATGAGTTTTCAAAATTTTTACATAAATCTGTTGCACACCTAAATAGAAAAAGCAAAAAGAAAAGAAGACAAGGATCAAAATTCTATGAAAAAATATTGAACAAAATAAAAAACTAATAAAAAGGAACATCCGTTTCGTTCCTACCCTTAGACGGATACCAAATAGTTAATAAGCCCTCCCCGGAACTCATCAGTAAGGAGGGAGGGCTTTGGTTAGTAAAAAAATCATAAAAAACTCACCTTATCCTTGTCCAATCGAAACATCCAATGTCGGTGGCGAAGGGGCGAAGATGATCGAATTCGCATTTCGTACCAACTGCCTGCAAATAAAATGATACTCAGCCAAGTTTTGGCGCGTCATAAAATGTGATTTCTACGCAGCCAAATGTTGCGTCATTTTTGAGTCGGAGCAGCGCATCGATCAATACTAACATTGACCTCCAAAAGGAAGTGTGTGGAATGTGTGATCATATGTGTATATGTATGTCTTGTATGTTTCTGTATAAGTGTGTGTGTAAGTGTGATTATGTGTGTATATGTAGGTGTTTGTGTATGTGTATATGTATGTGTATCTGTATCTGTATGTGTATGTGTGCATGTGTGTGTATGTGTGTATGTTGTGTATGTGTGTATGTGTGTATATGTGTGTATGTGTGTGTATGTGTGTGTATGTGTGTATGTGTGCATGTGTGTATGTGTGTATGTTGTGTATGTGTGTATGTGTGTATATGTGTGTATGTGTGTGTATGTGTGTGTATGTGTGTATGTGTGTATGTGTGTGTATGTGTATGTGTATGTGTATGTGTACGGATAAGTATATTTGTATGCGTATATGTATGTGTATGAGTATGTGTAAGTGTATGTGCATGTGTTTGAACATGTGTATACGTAAGTGTATTTGTGTGTGTATATGTACATGTTTGTGTATGTGTTAGTATATGTGTATGTGTATGTATATGTGTGTGTGTTTGTGTGTTTGTGTTTGTATGTGTATGTGTATGTGCATGTGTATGTTTATGTATGTATGTATATGTATGTGTATGTGTATGTGTGTGTATATGCAAGTTTATGTGCATGTGTATGTGTATATATGTATGTATGTGTATTTGTATGTATATGTATATGTGTATGTGTGTATGTATATGTGTATATGTGTATGTGAATATGTATGTGTATGTGTGTACGGTGTCTATGCACGTGCAGGTGTATGTGTATATGTTTATGTTATTGTGTTTGTGTTTTTTCATGTTTGTGTGTATAGATGTATGCATGTATGTATATGGTTTTTATGGTACGTGAAAAGATTCTAGCAAAACTCTCCTAACTGTACTTAATATGGTTTTATTACTATTTATCAGATTATATTTAAAGAAGATATAACTATTTTTATTAATAATCTTAGTAACGCAAGCAAGAATAGTCAAATCGTTATAACCATTATATTCAAGTATGCTTTTCAACCGACGTATTCTGTTCAGGAAATCCTCAAATTCTGAACATGTTCTAGCTATTCTTACATACTCTGTATATATAGTTGCTAATTTGATCTTATTAGATATACAAGAACCTGCATTGATAAATCTCTTGACTTGAAAATCGAAATCATCAGTTTTGTTATACATTTTAGTAGTTATGCGATTGTTGTGTATAACTATTTGGAGATCTAAGTAATTGCAATGTTTATCATCCATGTTAGTTGTTTCTAATTTTAGTTGTTGTTCATATACATTACTTAAAAGCAATTTGATATCCATATTTGAGTTATATATTATAAGTATATCATCCATATATCTAAATGGGTGAATATTTAGATTATAAGTAATGTTAGTTTTGGAAAATTTGTATTCATACCAGGCTAGTGTAAGATCTGCAAGAAGTGGACTGCAGCTACCACCTTGTGGAACACCTACCTTCTGTTTGTATATTAGATTACCAAATTTACAATAGCTATTATCTAGTATGTAATCTATTAAGTAAAGTACATCTGTGATACGATAGAATCTCGTACGTGAGTTATTACTAGTATCTGAATTTGTGTAATATATTCTATTGTAGTTATTATAAGCTATAAATTGTTTGTTTGCATTTTTATAGCATAATACTAGTATTTCTTTGAGATTATGTTTTATAACGTTATGAGGTAAGTTGGTAAACATGTTTGTAAAATCTGCAGAAAAAAGTTTCACATTAGTCAGTCTCAGGTTTATTAACTTATTACTAATATTAATATCATCTATAGCCCAGTAACCAATAAAATTCATGTTGCGAGTTTTGATTGCTTGTACATAATTTATGAAATGTTTTTTGACAAAGCTAAGAATTAGTTTAAGTTCTATTGCTAAAGGTTTAATACTACTATGAGTAGCACCTGTAATAAATCTGAATTTTACTGGAGTTTTGTGTAATTTCGGGAGACAATATATATTAGGTTGGTCCGAAAGTTCGTTCGCACCATTTTCAAAAAATCATAACTTCTTTCCTTCACAAAGATTTTGCGCAATTCAAATTTTATTAGAAAGCGTAGAGCATGTAGTTTCCAATGGTCCCCTGATGACCTTTCAGCGTGTTCAGATTGCAGAGATAAAAATGAAAGAACGAGAACATCCGAAATTCGGAATTTTTGAGAAAAAATTCTAAAAATCTAGAAACTGCGCGATAAAATCCAGAAAAGCCATTATCCTAATTTTTCTTATATTTGATTACTAAATGAGTTAAGTTTGTGCTGATCGAGCCCTTCTTTTAAAAGTTATAAATTTTTGAAAAAAAATGCCGAAAAATCATTTTCCTAAGGATTCCTAAGAAATCGATTTTTCGGCATTTTTTTCAAAAAATCATGACTTTTGAAAGAAGAGCTCGATCAGCACAAACTTAACTCATTTAGTAATCAAATATAAGAAAAATTAGGATAATGGCTTTTCTGGATTTTATCGCGCAGTTTCTAGAATTTTAGAATTTTTTCTCAAAAATTCCGAATTTCGGATGTTC